CCTCCTCCTCCTCCTCCTCCTCCTCCTTCCCACTCTCAGCCAGCTACGATCGTATCTGCCTCCGACGCGCAAAAGGCTCCGTCTGCCTGCCCATCCCAGGCTTCCACTGCCAACCCCCAGCCGCCGGTCCATCTGCAAGCTCCGCCTCTTCCCATCGCTCACCACGCCATCCCGTCGACGACACGAAGCGCCGAGTGCCACCTCGCCATGCTCCGTTTATAAGCCTCCGCGCACCATCCATCTTGGGTCTCACTCCAGCCCGGAGCTGCTCCTCACCCGTCCGGGATTCGGTTCGATCACGCCTACACTGCGCCCTGCCTAGCTCGCAGCTCGTAGCTCGTCTCGCCTGCTCGCGAGCGTCTACAGTAGCTCTCCACCCATGACGGCCATGACCACCGCAAGCCAAGTCAACGCGCAGGCGCCCGTCTGCACGCTCAGCTATCGCCAGTTTCATCTGCTTTGGACGCTCCCGCTCTGCGTGCTCCTCTTTCTCGTCGCCAGGCCCTTCCTCACCAAACTCGACCGTGCCAAGCTCATCCTGCTACCCATCATCGCTTTCCTATGGACAACGCCCTGGGACAACATCATCGTCAAAAACCGCGCCTGGTCCTACCACCGCCACTGCATCTGGTTCACCATCGGCTACGTCCCCATCGAAGAGTACTTCTTCTTTATCATCCAAAGCCTCATCTCCACCCTCTGGTGCACCCTCCTTACAAGATGGCATCTGCCCAACCTCTACCTCGCACCGCCTGCCGACGGCCGCCGTCGTCGCAGTCTTGCCACTCCCACCCTCGTCGCGCTCATCGTGCCATTCCTCCTCGGCCTCAGACTCGCCGTACCAGACACCCACTCGTACTACTTTGGCATGATCTCCTGGTGGGCCTCCTTGCCCCTCGCTCTTCTGCTCTGGGGCTCCATCGACTTTATCCGCAACATGCCCATCCGCGCTGGCCTCCTCCCCTTTGCCCTCTCCGTCATGGCTCCAACAGTGTATCTGTGGTGCTCCGACGTCTACGCCCTCCGTCGCGGAACCTGGCACATCAACGAGGCCACCTCGCTCAACATCTTCCCCATACCGGACCTCCCCGTCGAGGAGATGCTCTTCTTCCTCGTCACCAACCTCATCCTCGTCAGTGCCTGCTACACCTTTGACCGATGCGTCGCCATCTGCAGGCAGACCGCTGCCTCAGAGCGTCCTCCCCTGTCGCCCAGCTATCTGCCGCTCGCCGCTCCATCCACCTACTCGGAGCTCTGGAAAGCCTTTGTCCGCTCCGACCACCGCCCACACCTCACCACCGCGCTATCGGCGTGCGTCGAGCCTCGCGATCTGTCGGCGTCCTTGCGCGTGCTTCGCGCCGCCTCCAAGTCCTTCAACGCCGCCAGCCTGCTGCTACCCTGGGATCTGCGCACCGATCTCGGCTGCCTCTACGCCTTTTGCCGCGTGGCTGACGACCTGGTCGACGACGAGGCGGAGAGTGTCGAGGCGAAATCGCAGAATCTCGAGGTGGTCAGGCGCATCGTGGATGCCATCTACGCAGAGTCGGACACCAACGGCAAGGCGGCGCTCAACTCTGCAGAGGGGCCTGCCGTGCCCATCAGCGATCGCATGCGTCTGCTGCTCGCCTCGGTGGCGTTGGCGGAAAGCGTCAAGGAGGATGTACGCGCAGCCGCAGCGTCAATAGCGCCGCTCACACACTACATCCCCAAGCGTCTTTGGTACGAGATGCTCGAGGGCTACAGCACCGATCTGCGCTTCGAGCATGCGGATGTACACAAGCGCACGCGTCTGATCACCATGGACGATCTCGTCGAGTACTCGCAGTGCGTCGCCGGCGTCGTCGGAGAAATGTGCACGCGCGTCATCCTCGGCCGCTGCGGACTCGCGGTGCCTCTCGATTTGCACGTCGATCGCAAGATCGTGCTCGGAGGTATTCCTGCGGACGGGCGCGACGACAAGTCTTCGCCATTAGCAGGCGGCGCGCCGGCAGCTCCACTCGACCTGTCGAAAGCTGCCGACATGCATGCGCTGCTGTACGAGGCGCGTCGTATGGGTGTCAGCCTGCAGCTGGTCAACATTGCGCGCGACGTGGTGCCGGACGCACTCGAGCTGCGCCGATGCTACCTTCCCGCCGACCTGTTTGAGGAGGCGGACGGCGGCATGCAAGAGGCACTGCTGCACGGCCGCTTGAACGTGCCCAAACGTAGCGCTGCCGCAGCGGGCACGGCCGGCAAGTCGAAAGCCGAGGAAGCCGAGGCGGTGCAGGCGGTGCAGGCGGCGCAGGTGGCGGTTGAGCCTCGCGAGGTGCGCAAGTATGCGCTCCGACTGTTGGCCATGTCGCGTCGACTGTACGATCAGGCGTATCCTGCGCTCGGTCAGATCCCCAACCGGCCGGCGCGCGCGGGCCTCAAGGCAGCATGCGCCGTGTACGCTGCGATTGGCACCAAGATCGAGGCGCAGAATGCCGACGACGTGGCATCGGGCCGACGTGCACGCATGTCGAATCGGGACCGCATCGTGCGTGCCGTCGCGGCGGTCTACTTTGGCGTGTGAGGAGACCGAAGCGGCATGCCTTCACTCATACTGTCCGACGTCGGATTCTCTTTGCAAGAGCACACATCATACCGTTGGAATGCATATCTTTAATACCACCGAGAGGCAGCTGTGTTCGTGGATGAACAGCGTGTGGTGTGTGTGGTGTAAGGCAGAGTGCGGCGGGTACACAGGCGAGAAAAAAATGCGACCGACGGGGTTCGAACCCGTGCCCTCCTCTTTTCGCCTGAGATGGCTACTGAAGCCTTAGCCCACTGGGAAAGAGACGTGATAACCACTACACTACGGACGCAGCAATCACGTGGGTGAAGCGCATAACCCATTTATATAACAATAACCGTGGCGAAGGAACGTGACGGCTAAATTCCAAGGAAGGAAGAGTGACTTTTGCCGATCCCCCGTGTAGCCAAGGGTCATGTGGGCCGAGGGATGCGGGGGCGATGGCGGGGCTGCTGGGGCTGGATAGCGGGGGAACGGATTACGTGAAAGTTTGCTCGTCAGGTAGGGTCTTGGAAGCCCTGATCCCGGAGCTTTTGGCGTTTGTGGGGCGAGCGACGTGGGTTTGACGGGCAGCGCATTTTCCGTGAATGTGTCTGTGTGTGCGTGTGTTGCTGTCGTGCGTGTTGGAAGCTCTGAAGCGACGCCGCGAATGCCGATGGAGCGGCTCATATCCGACACGACACTGCAATGCACGCGGCCTTTGACCGTTGCCTGCTGCCGCCGCGATATCCCACGGCGTAGCATCATTACATTGACCGACACTTGGGTCCGACACTTGGGTCGTGGCAGCTGAGGACGGATGCGCTTCCAACAACGGGCATGGTGTTGCTGGTAGCCACCAGCACAACCGGAGCTTGCCCACTTGCACCGCCTGTCTGCGGCAGGGTCACCACCGGCAAGCGCGGCAGAGCTGCAACGGAGCGTCTCGCCGGTCCGAGACGAGCAAAGCGGCGACGTGGCCTTCTGGCTTAGCCAAGACAACACTGGCCGCGCGAGAAAATGGGAATCTCGGCCAAACCACGGAGCGACTCGCGGCGGCCCCGCATCAAAGGACACGCGCGGCTCCCCCGCCAGCCCATCTTTTGTCTTTTTTCGGAAAAGAGGAAAATCCAGAAAAACAGCTGAGCAGCGCGGTCACAGTCGGAGGGAAGGTGTGATGAGGGTGTGATGCGCCTTTTCTTCTTGGAGCAGCACCGACCTTGGCGGAGGCGGCCGCCGCTGCGCACCACAGCAACAGCACGGCAATTCCGAGCAGCCCAGCTTTCAGCCGCCACATCACCCACGCTTGCATTTCGGCTCGCCCGCTCTTTACGTCGGCTGCTCCGTCTCTCGCGTTCATCCCCATCGTCACCACCATCCCCTTCCGCCAACGACGTCCGGCGACGACAGCAACAACAATACTACTATTGTGCTTACGATACAACGATACCTTGCCCGTCATACAGATTAGCTCGATCATACTCTAGCCCCCTCGCCCCGCCCCGCAAATCGCCTCATCATGGCTTCGCAGCTCGACCTCATCGTGCTCGGCCTCGGCGGCCTCCTCGCCGTCCTCTACCTCTTTCGCGAGAGCCTGTTCGGCGGTGCAAAGGACACTGGCTCCAAGCTCGCCAACGGCGCAGCCCTTGCCACCTCCGACGAGGGCGGCGCCGACTTCGTCTCCAAGCTCAAGTCGCAGAAGAAGCGCATCGCCATCTTCTACGGCTCCCAGACCGGCACCGCCGAAGAGTATGCCACCAAGCTCGCCAAGGAGGCCAAGGCTCGCTTCGGCTCCTCCTCCCTCGTCCTCGACCCCGAAGAGTACGAGTTTGAAAAGCTCGACCAGATGCCCGACGACTGCGTCGCCGTCTTTGTCATGGCCACCTACGGCGAGGGCGAGCCTACAGACAACGCCGTCGGCCTCATGGAGTTCATCGAGAACGAATCCCCCGAATTCTCCAACGGCAGCGAACGCCTCGAGAACCTCAACTACGTCATCTTTGGCCTCGGCAACCGCACCTACGAGCACTTCAACGCCGTCGCACGCAAGCTCGACGCACGCCTCGAGTCGCTCGGCGCAAAGCGCATCGGCGAGCGCGGCGAGGGCGACGACGACAAGAGCATGGAGGAGGACTACCTCGCCTGGAAGGATTCGATGTTCGAGGCGCTCGCCTCGTCGCTCAACTTTGAGGAGGGCGGCGGAGGCGACGTGCCCGACTTCAAGGTCACCGAGCTCGCCGACCACCCGGAGGACAAGGTGTACCACGGAGAGCTCTCCACCCGTGCCCTCCTCGGCACCAAGGGCATCCACGACGCCAAGAACCCCTACAACGCCGTCGTCTCGCAGGCGCGCGAGCTCTTTGTCGAGGGCACCGCCGACCGAACCTGCGTGCACGTCGAGTTCGACATCGACGGCTCCGGCATCTCGTACCAGCACGGCGACCACATCGCCGTGTGGGCGCACAACCCGGAGCAGGAGGTGGAGCGCGCCCTCGCCGTCTTTGGCCTGCTCGACAAGCGCAACACGGTCATCGACGTCGAGTCGCTCGACCCCACGCTCGCCAAGGTGCCCTTCCCCGTGCCCACCACCTACGAAGCCGTCTTCCGCCACTACCTCGACATCACCAGCCACGCATCGCGCCAGACGCTCAACAGCTTTGCCAAGTTTGCTCTATCGCCCGACATCCGCGCCAAGCTCGAGCAGATTTGCGCCAACAAGGACACCTTCCAAGCCGACATTGGCAGCCGCCTGCTCAAGACCGCCGAGGCCATGCAGTGGGTGGCCGGCGACGACCTGCAGGCCGACGTGAGCGCCATCAAGCCGTGGAACATCCCGTTTGACCGCGTCATCTCGGACCTGCCGCGCGTCGGACCTCGCTTCTACTCGATCTCGTCGAGCCCCAAGATGCACCCCAAGTCGGTGCACATCACTGCGGTGGTGCTGCGCTACCAGGCGTCCAAGCAGTCGCCGTGGGTGCACGGCCTGGCCACCAACTTTATCAGCAGCATCAAGATGGAGAAGAACGGCGAGCAGCCGACGGGCGCCAACGACCCGCGCTTCGGCACACCCAAGTACCAGCTCACGGGTCCGCGCGGCGTCTACACCAAGGACGGCCAGTACCGCGCGCCCATCCACATCCGACGATCCAACTTCCGCCTGCCGACGTCGCCCAAGATCCCGGTGATCATGGTGGGACCGGGCACGGGCGTGGCGCCCTTCCGGTCGTTTGTGCAGGACCGCGTGTGCAGCGCGGAAAAGGCCATGGAGAAGGGCGGCAAGTCGGCCGAGGAGGCGCTCAAGGATTGGGGCAACATCTGGCTCTTCTACGGCTGCCGACGCGCCAACGAGGACTTTCTCTACCGCGACGAGTGGCCGCAGTACGCCGAGAAGCTGGGCGGCAAGTTTATCATGGAGACCTCGCTGTCGCGCGAAAAGTTCAAGCCGGACGGCTCCAAGATGTACGTGCAGGACCTGCTCTGGGAGCGACGCAAGCAGATCGCCGAGGACATCCTGGAGCGCAAGGCGTACATCTACATCTGCGGCGAGGCCAAGGGCATGGCGCACGACGTCGAGGCCATCTTTGCCAAGATCCTCGAGGAGGCCAAGGGCTCGGCCGACGAGGCCAAGAAGGAGATGAAGCTGCTCAAGGAGCGTTCCAGGCTTCTGCTCGATGTGTGGTCGTAGTGGCACTCGATCTCGATCTCGATCTCGATCTCACCCACGCTTCATGGCTGTAAATACTGTGTAGCCTCTGTTGGACACACGCCACCACGCATCTAGCGTCGTGCCGTGGCCCACATGCATAGACAACAATCAATCCGTTCTTTCTGGAAGCCAGAACGTGCCGAAGCTGGTGGGTGCCTTGTGCTTTGTGAGCGGCCCGAGCCTCGGCATTCCTGACGCAACGACGAGGGGCGTGAAATGCAGGCGTGCATGCACCGGCAGCTGGCGGCGACAATTTAACGGTGCGTCGGATAAAGTCGTGTGCTGGCGTGCTGCTCCACCTGTGTGTCAGAGGCGGTGCTTTTCACGTGTTGGCGTGGGCCTGTGTCGAGAGTGAGGGCTGATTGAACCCTGTCAGCCCCCAACAGCAGCAGCGAGGCAAAGTGACACACGCCCTATCACTCGAACCTTCTCGCTCCACCTTGACGCCTCCCTGCCGTCGTGCTTTGCCTACCGCCGCCCATACGGTAGAGCGCTGCTTCATGACCACCACCATACGCCACCGCAGCTCGACGACAACATTTGCTGAAGCTTGCAATCGAGACGCATCATTCATCGGGCGCAAAGGCGAGGCCTGAGCACGCGAGTCCACCATGATCGACCACCTGCTCGGTCGGCCCTCGACCAAGCTCAAGCGCGTCCAGATCTTCTCGGTCATCTTCTTCTGGCTCTGGTTCCTCGCCACGGGCAACCGCGATGGTCCCAGCCCGCTCATCCGCAGATTCAACGCCAAGCTCAAACGCTTCTCGCCATGGCAGATCGTCGTCTTCAGCTCCGTCGGCATCTACACCATCCGCCACCTCGACTCGCTCCTCGGCTTTGGCGCGCCAGAACCGCTCGCAAGGATGTACTCGCGCAACTTTTACCGCACCACCTGGCTCGTCACCGCCCTCGACGCCGGATTCGCCACGGCGATGAACATCAAGCCAAAGTGGCTGCGCGACATCATGAGCCTCGTCTTCTCCGCCTACTACGTGATCTATGCCAACGAGGCCGACGAGAAGCTGAGGAAGTACCGCGCTTTCTGCACCGTCGAAATGATGCGCACTACGTGGGAGAAGACCACCAATCCGTACGTGCGTCTCGTCACCTGGTTCCATCGTCCCTCGCTGCCCATCGCCCGGCCGCTGCTCATCCCACGCCCCGACCACGGCGCACACCACACGAGACCCACCAAGGCTTGGCTCTTCTACCCCAAGAGCGAGCGCCAGCTGCGCATGGAGGAGGAGCTCGTGCTCGACTTTTGCGGCGGCGGCTACATTTGCATGTCGCCGCAGCATCACGAGGAGCGGCTGCGCCAGCTCGCAAAGCAGATGCAGAAACCCGTCCTCGCCGTCGACTACTGCAAGGCGCCCGAGTATCCCTACCCCTTTGCGCTCGAGGAGTGCTTCGACCTCTACCGCACCCTCCACCTCACCGCCGGCAGCGTCATCGGCATGTCAGGCTCGCCCAACTTCCGCATCCTCCTGACAGGCGACAGCGCCGGCGGCAACCTCGCCACGGGTGTCGTGCTCAAGATCATCGAATACCCGCAGCCGCGCATCCAGCTCGCGTATAGCGCCGCTGCGCGCTCCGAGGCGCACAGGCAGCAGCCGCCACCACCTTTGCCCAAACCCATCGGCATGGTGCTCAGCTATCCCAGCCTCAACTTTGGCTTCTCCAGCTGGATGAAGCCCGAGCACCTCCGCCTTTTGCGCCAGCAGAGCGAGGTCAACCTCGACAACCTCGCACAGCATCCGAGTGTGCCCGCCTCGGCGTCTTCCTCGTCGCTCCGCGCGGCAAGGCGCCGGTCAGCGGCGAATCTGGCCAATGTCGCCAATGCCACCAGTGCGGCCGAGCGCAAGAAATCCGAGGCAAAGCGCGCGCGCAGCAAGGAGCGCCTGCGCGATCCTCGCTCGTACCATTCGCTCACGCAGACCGCCGAGCTGCATCTCGACGAGCGCGCACGCTATGCCGAGGTGGAGCCCACCTCGGACGAAAACGGATCCTCGACGCCGCCGTCCGACTCGAGGTACGACCGCATGTACACCGAGTCCGCACTCACGCCCTCGTGGGAGAAGGGCGGACTGCCGTGGGGCCAGGTGGCGCACCAGGCGTACCTCGACGAAGTGGCCGATCGCGAGGAGGAGCGTGCACAGGCGCGCTTCGAAAAGGACCAAAGGGCGCTCCAGAAGGTGGCCGAGGCGGCCGACAGCCGCAACAAGGAGCAGAAGCGCGCGCCGTTCAACACGCGCCTCACCGTCACCTCGATGGCGGGCTACTTCCAGGACCGCATCATCACGCAGGGCATGCTGCGTGCCATGGCCATCCTCTACGTCGGTCCGCGCCGCCAGCCGGATCTGGACCACGACTACTTTCTCTCGCCCGTCGTGGCACCCGCGCATCTGCTCGCCGAGTTTCCGCCCGTGCTCTTCATCTGCGGCGAAAAGGATCCGCTGTGCGACGACACGGTAATCATGGCCGGACGCATCCGCGAGGCCAAGCTCGCCAAAAAGGCCGATCTGGAGCGTCGCAGGGCGATGGCGTCGGCGCGGTTTGGCGAGGGCCTGAGGACGACGCCCATCGCCGCGAGCGCGAGGATGACGACGGCAGCAGCGGATCCGATCGAAAACGAGTCGGCCGAGGACTGGGTGCAGATGCGCATCATCGAAGGCTGGAGCCACGGCTTCCTCCAGATGTCGTCACTCATGCCCGAGGCCAAGCAGGTGATCGGCTTCCTCGGCACCTGGATGTCGCTCGTCTTTGAGGAGCATCGCGACCGTCTCGACGAGGAGCGCGAGCGTGCAGAGGCCGAGGCGCGTCGAACCGGCGCAGTGTTCACTGCTGATGTCGTTGGTCCGGCCAAGACACCTGCACCGGTGGGATCAGCCAATCCACCATCGCCGCCGAGCTTGATCGCGCAGGACACCGCGTCGCACTCGCCCATTGGCGAGGCGAGTAACGCGGCTGCCTCGGCCGCGGTGCATGAGCACGATGCTGACGATGAGGACGACGGTGGCGAGGCGCAGGAGGGCGAACGCAACGATGAGCACGCCGCCAACGACGACGACGACGACGACG